GTACTGCATTAAAGAAAGAATACTATGTGTATTTGAACATTCTATTTCATGTTGTTCGATGTAAACCAAAATCACACGCTCAGTGATTGGGTAAAGAATATATAAGTGTCTGGATATAAATAGTGGTTCGATCACCTGGAAATATACCTTGGCTCCCGTGTCTTGCCTCCTGTTGTTACAAAAGAAGGGCAAACCTCCGATTTTCTGAACATGTACCGTAAAGCCTACGTCTCCATTGGAGAACAAATGCTTACGGTAGTGCCACGACCAGAAATCTTCTTGACCCATGTCATGAGGTAGAAATCGCAAAATCATTCAAAATTATCAGTAGACGCAAAAGCTCAATTCTCCTCAAGTTTGCCGAAGCAATCTCTATCAAACGCCTGAAACCCGATTAATGTGTTCAGTAGGAAGGTGGTGGTTATCAGTCTTTCCTTGACCATCCTGATAACTGGATATTTTCATCCTCTCTTTCATTTGATTACATAATCTTTAACTTTGGCCTCACTTAATTAAGCCTGCCTTAACAGACAACCGATGAGATGAATTAAAGTCTAAATATCTATTAGCAGAAGGCGTTGGCTTTTTATCAACACTAGTGTGCAGTTTACCTTCTTCTGTTCGTTTTATTTTACAACCTAACATAGTTAATTCTCCTTGTTCATTTCCCGATTCAAATGTGAATTAACTGTTAAGGCAGGCTTAGTTAAGTGTCTAACAAACCGAGCAATAGCACTAAGTATTACAACAAAAAACCTAAATGATAAAATGAAAAAAATAGAAGAGGCGTTGGTGATGAATATCTAACTGCCCTATAAAATTTATTATTAATATCAAAAAAGTCAAAAGCAAAATGAAAATAATGGGGAAACTAATAATGATAACATAAATAAGAGAGAATATAAAGCATCTACTACTATACTATATAAAGAGAGGACATCTGAGGCCCTACGTGGTAGGATTCTTAATAAAGCAGAAAATAGAGTAGCATTTAAACCTACAAACTCATTCAGGGACAAGCTCTGTAGATCAAAGGACCCTGTAGGTTGACCCAATTAGACAAAATAAAATTTACAAAATACCCTGCAATGACTGAGTTAGGTCAACTACATAGGTCGAACTAGCAGGTCAGGTGGGGGTAGTGAGATTGTCGGAACATAAGAATTTAGCTAAGGTAAGAATGGCTGACCCCGAGAAGATAAGTAGTTTAGAAAAAGCTCACCAGTTGTACTGCGAGCATTAACACACAACCACAAAATAGGGTAGGAGAGGGTCAGAATTATAAGATGTAATATAGGTAGGTGGAGAGACAGATTGATTACTGAATCCTTGTTCATCGAGTATACACACAACACGTTTAATAGGATGCAATGACTTATCACTCATACCGGAAATACGGAAAATACTACTACCAATGAGGTCAAGAGATGAAAAATAATGGAATTATATAAACGAAGTGAGAAAGTTGTGTGAGTAGTGTCTTGATATGATTATGAGCGGTAATAAATTGTGGTCGAAACATGGTCATCAGTAAATATTACTGTATAACACTGTTAGACTTTATCGAAATAAATTTCACCCACTATTGAAATATACTCTACCACCACAGTGCACAAGTTCTATTCTTATATCAATTAGCCTAGATAAGCCTAACTAAACTTCTCTAGTTGCGTTGCTGAAAACGGAATGAAAATCATAGAACGGCTGCCATATTCTAAGAAAATTTTCGTCATCACTCTTGTAATTTGACATTTCCTTTTTAGCTCTACAACATCACTTGTTTATAATTTTCATCAATTCCCCACAAGCAGTACGTATGAAGATGTTAAAGCCAACCAGCCAGCCAACCAGAATCCGAAAGGCAAGATAGGATGCCTTCATCAGTCTGAAATCACTTTAGGAATCTTCTGCACTGACTTAGCCATCATGAAGAAAAGGTTTGGATTTCTAACACAAATGCGAAGTCACTTAGTCAATTCTTCTACGTGGGTCAAGAAACTTGCACTGCGTGTCACGGAAAGCATTTCCAACAGGCCACCACATATTTTTGTCGACAGCTGTCTTTGCTCTATGTTGGAGATCAAATGACCGAACAGAGAGACTTAGCAATGAGAAACTCTGGCTGGAACAAGCCAACAGGCCAGAGCCGATTACTCAAGAATTGTGGGGGTGAAAATGGAGATGGATTGGGCATAGGTTGAGAAGGCCGTCAAATGATATTGCTCCATCGTCAGGCCATCGCTAGAGTGGAATTGGAATGGAAAGCGGTGAGTGGGTCATCACTTTGAGTGTGACATGGAGGAGATGGTGTGGCTAGGAGGAGATAAGAGAATATGGGCAATCGTGAGCCAGCCAGCTGAGGAGGACACGAGAAAATAAAAGAAAGTGGAGATGTGTTGTTGAAGCAGTATGTTGCACTCGGAACCCAAGGGAATAATAATTATAATTCTAGTCAGAGAAGGGGACAGTAAGGAAACAGACTAATTGTCATGAGCACGATTGTTAACGTTATTAATCAAATTGAATAAGGGTGGTCATGTTGTGCAACATGACAAATAATTGATCTGCAAAGTGAAAAAGTGCCCTACCAAAGATATTATATTTTCATATACTATATACTGCTGAACTTAAAGACATCCAGATAGCAAAACTGGTTCTATGCATACAGAAACGGTATTCAGTAATCACCTCTCTTCTATCATAATAATGACTGTATCGTGTTTTTACCAACATGATTTGTTTTTAACTGCTTAAAACTCTTCGGTTTTCATGCTTAAAAGCACACTTTAAGTGCGTCAAAGTAAATGTTCAGTGAAAACCAATAAAACCACCACCACTTTCACGAAGATGTCAAAGTCAGAATCGGAAAGGCAAGATACGCTTTCATCAAACTGTAACCATTTTGGAAATCTTCCGCACTCAGCGTAAGGAACAATATTCGCATTTTCAACACTAATATGAAGTCGGTTTTTCTATACGGGTCAGAAATTTAACCAGCGTGTCACGAAAAGGTTGTAAACTTTCATCAACAGCTTACCACTTCGCTGTCTTAATGCTGAAGATCAAATGGCCAGCCAGAAAGAACAAGCAACAAAAAGCTATGGGAACAGACCAACAAACAAGAGCCGATCGCTCAACAAATATGTAGGAGAAAGGGGAGATGGATCGGGCATACATTGAGGAGGCCACCGAATGACGTCACACGCCAGGCCCTCAAGTGGAAACCGACAAGTGTATAGTCACTTAGAGGGTGACACGGAGGACAACATGTGAGGAAGAGGTGAGAAGAGAGATTGGTCAATCGTGGACCCAGATGAAGAGGACGGCAGAAAACAGAACAAAGTGGAGATGTGTTGTTGAAGCCCTATGTTCCACTCGGAACGCAAGGGAACATTAACATAATAATAAAATAAAAACCCACTAACAGTTTCATATTGGATCACCTGATTTAAACAGACCATTTAAAAATCTATCAATTCTATCATTTGTTTAATACTGAATAAACTGTCAAAGGCCTTTAAATGCAAAGCATTTCAAGCACCAGGAGTCCCTCTAGTTCGTTTCGAAAACAGCTGGAGCTCTGTGTGAGAAAGAGACAGTTTCAGCCAACCACCATTGCTAACCTGGTCTATTGTGGAACGTATAAGTCCTTTAATTCTCTATTAGTTTTATTGATTTCAATTTAATGTTATGCTGGTGCACATTATCACTTACAGGTGCCTTCGAACTGTGATCTACTGCTATTACTTGATTCGATATTATTTAAAACATTAATGTCTGAAACTACCACAGCAATGTAAGTGGATATCACTATCCTAGTTAAACATCTAAACGTCCGTAAACATTGTAATAATAATAACATTATTAATACTATTTGCTATTGCTTCCTTTAGTTCCGAGAGGAACACAGGGCTTCAGCTGCACGTCTTCATTGCGTTCGGTTCTCTGCCAACGTTTTACCCTATCTCATGTCTTCCCGCATCTGTCATCTCCTCTTTACATGACGTCCTCCATGCCTACCTCGCACTGACGACAAACTCGCCACTTCCCATTCGTGTTTCACTCGAGCGATGATCTGGCATGTGATGTCACTTGATGGTTTGTTTTCTCAGAGTATGGCCAATCTACCTCCATTTCTTCCAGCATATTTGTTGCACAGTTGGTTCCTGCTGGGTTGGTTCGTTCATTGCTAGAGATCCCTGTTGCTGATCTTTTCTGGTTAGCCATCTGTTCTTGAGTAGTATTGAACGAAGACAGTTGTTGATTAAGGTCTGTAGTTTGTTCAAGGTGCCCTTCGTGACGCAGTACCAAGTCTCTGATCCGTATAGTAGCGCTGACTTCACATTGGAGTTGAAAATCTGTATCTAATTTTCCATGCTAATTGCTGTTGACCTCCACACAGACTTGAGAGTAATGAAAGCTTGCCTTACTTTCCCCATCTTTTGCTTTGATATCCCCGTCAGTTCTGTCCGCGTGTAGTTGAACGATGCTCCCCAGGTAGATAGGTAGGTAAAGGAGATTGCTTCTTTCAGATTTCTCCCATTTGTGTTAGTTGTTGTCTGTTAGTCTGTTGCTGTTGGCCAGGAATCTTCATCACCTCTGTTTTCTCTATGTTCACCTGAATGCCTATCTTTGATGCTTCTTCTGCCAACTTGTTGCTTTTCGCTTGCATATCTTCCAGTTTGTGGGAAATCAGACATATATCATCGGTGAAGTCCAGATCCTCCAAGTTTTTGTGCCGGTGATATTACTGCAACGGTTTTTGTTATTGTTCTTCTGATTGCTTTATTTCTTATTTCCCTGATTCGAGAGAGAGCAACCCAAGTTGTCGCTCCTCCCTTCTCAAGCATGACGCCAGCTATAGAAACTCCGGTACGATGAGTCTCCTTAAGACGAAATAAAAAGTCTGTATGGGGACACGGAACGTCCTCACTACATATGAAACATTGTAATATAGATAAGAAAAAACAGCATAAGATAAAATGTACTCAATAACTTACTATGCGGAGTCATTGGTATCGTCATTTTTCCATTAGATTTTAAACCGTCTATATCACGATCATCATTTTCATTATCATTATCATCTGGTAAGGTGGACATTTTTCTACATTCCAACTGATTAATTTTTTGTTGTTCAATTAGAATCGATTTTTCTTTTGATTTTTCATTTTGATTCCCTGATGCCAAGTTGAGTAAAGTTCTATTTGGTGTTAGTTCACTTGGTTTATTTTCATGATCAGAACTCTTAGCGTGAGCATCGTCACCACCATTTACACGAGTGTGTTGTTGTTGTTGTTTCTGTGGTAGTGGTGGTGGTGGCAGTTGTTGTTGTTGTTGTTGTTGTGATTGGTGATGACGTTGACGTGCTGATGAAGGACCATCTAAAAGTGTTGTATGATTTGGTAGATTTTGACTAGACCCCCTTGTTGATAAAGTAACAGTTGGCGGTTTATCCATTTTTACAGTATTTTCAAATTCTTTTGACAGTACCTTATTATTTACTGTGGTTGTTGCTGTTGTTGTTGTAGTTGTTGTAGCCGTTGTCAAGTCGACATAACCAAGAACTGATGTATCACTGTCTGTTGAGACTGGATTAGTATCTTTCTTCCTATCATTATTGTTCTTATTATTATTGTTATTATTATTAGTAGTAGTAGTATTCCGATTAGAATCATTATTAATATGACGTGTTTTGACTTTCGTCCTTTTGCTAGCTTCATCATCTGTTGTATTAATATAAGCAAATTGTAAGGATGATTTATTCACTTTATATTTGTTTGTTAATTTATTATTATAATTTGAATTGGTCATTGATGTCGCTAGACTATCATCATTTGCATATTTTACTTTAACTATTGGTAGACTGAAAATGTCAGCTGGTTCCGAAACTGGATCATATTGCTATGGTGAATTATTTAGGAGAAATAAAAATAAAAATGAATAATTAAAACAGTTAGCAGTGCACTTAATAAATTTAAATAAAGCATTTAGAAGATAGTGTGCGTTGGTAGCACAGCAGTAGAATGCTCGCCAACCACGCAGGTGGTTCGAGATTCGATCCCCGGCCACTGACGCACTCCTTTACCTCGCTAAGTCAGGAATAAGATTGGTAAAGAGGGAAGCTTGGGCGTGAAGCTAGCAATCCCACCCCGTAAAAATAAATACCACTGCTACTGAAACTTCAAAGGTTTAGCTTAACGCCAGCGGATCAATAAGGAGTGCTATGTTTGAACATATATACTCAACACTAGTCGCTCAGTATGTAAGGAGTATTCATTCAAATGAAAAGAAAATACGTAGTTCAGCGAAGAGTCTCTTTTCGGTGGATTCATTTTTTTAGCTGTACAATCGCAAATATATATGTGTTATTTTATACGTATGTGTACATTAAGTTTGTCAAACAAAATTATGTAATAATATGAATAGTCTGATGATTGAGTTTTACTCAGGATACACATAGGAACAGAGCAGAGAATACTAAATTACGTAAGAGTTCTAAATAAATGCAAGAAATATAAGGAATTAAAGAAACAGGCAAACAAACAAAAGTAAGTCATCAAAAATCAACAAGGTTGTTACCATGACAATAGAAGTGGTTGAGTAATTCTCTTTTGTGTGCACAGCTCCGATTTCTCTATGTGAATGGGCAGAGCTTCAGCGATACAAAGAAGACGAAACCATATTACCTTTGGTAGGTTATTCTTGACTTTGTAGTTTACTTTGAAGGAGGAGGCGTTTGTTGAAATGGAATGATCAGTGTTAACCAGGTGTTCAACTATCGCACTCTTTATTGCACCACTATCGCCTTTTCTCAACCATTCTGGATAGTGTTCTTGAATCCTCTCGGACAGGGTGCGCGTCGAACAATCAATGTACCTGACTCCACAGCTGCAGGTGAACTGATATATACACAGAGAAGTGGTCAGATGTGGGATCTTGTCCTTGAGGCTTCTGCAGATCAGTGGGCGACTGGAGAACACTATTCTTAGCGTTGCTGCAAAGAATGTTCATCTCAGAGATGATGTGATCCTCCTCTTGAGAATATCGCTTGTTAAATCTCTCTTGAAATCCAAGTTCATATAGAGTTTCTTTTTAGGCGCAAGTGAAGTTTCATTTTTCCAAATTCTTGGTTTGATATTTTTGTCAATGAATCTTATTGGGTATCAATTTTGCATGAAGATTTCTCTCAAAATATCTAATTCTGTTTCTAGAACATCGGAACTACAGATGCGTCGGATGCGGGTGACAAGTGATTTAATTAATTAATTCATTCATTCATTCAAAGTCATCTAAAATGTCAAAAGAAGCCTCCCATAAACGGTAAGTTTCTGTACACTTTGCGTCAGCAATGCAGATAGAAAACCTTGATTTATGTAGACAGGAGAAACTTCTCCATCCCTTACTCTTACCCTGGGTATAATTCCAAGTTCGACTAGTTTGTTACCAATGCTATTTTTGGATTTTTTGTTTGACTTTTAGTAACATCTTTTTCTCAACCAACACTTTATTTACCCTTTCTAACTATTACGCAATTTATTTGGGACACGTGTCTCCGTGCTCTTACATTAACGTTCCATTTTTCTGGGTGGCTTTCATATGACGTAACCCTTTTCAATACTTACCAATCTTCACCGTCCCCCCTAGTTACAATTTGATTATTCATCAAACTTTTTGAAACATTGTGATGACGTAAGCAATGACCTTAGATAATTTTTATGCTTGTCTGACAAGGCTGATGTACACACACATATAGTAAAGATAATTATACGTAAATGTGAGTGTACAGCTAAGTAAAAGAGACTCTTTTGTGAAAGGTCTGTTCTCATATTCATGTCTCAATGGGTATTTCTTGTCAGTTTTCCAGGAAAGCTACAGACACACACAGAAAACTTAACCAGTACACCCCTGGTTACCAAGGATTGCCTAACTGTAATAAGTTTGTTACCCATCTTGCAATCAAACAAACCTCTGGAAACCCTGCTTGAGAAGTAACCAAGAACACAGTGTTGAACGATTATGAAACTAGTGAATAAGATAAAAAGATAATCAATAATTATGACATATCATGTGTCTGTAATCAATATTTTTTTTGATGGAAATATCTCAAGTTAAAATTGGACTGTATTGTTTTCATGTGATTCAGTAACTGATATAGTTTTCTTTTCAGTGAATTATTTTGAAATGATATCTTTATATATAAGAGTAATCTCAATAATAATAATAATAATAATATCAGTTACATTAATCAGAAAAGCCTATAACTGTATAAGCCCCACGTATGTCCGTCAACATTCTCTACTGGCTACACAACTGTTCACAAGTTTTAATTTCTTCCTTATCCATGTCTCTCTTGGACTGAAGACCAACGCGTCACTTCGCATTTGAGTCGCACTCAAGGGTCTGGGTGTATGATGTCACGTGAGGTTCTCCTTAGCCCCGGTCCCTTGAGCATATCTGTTGGACAACCAGTTATCGATTCGTCCGTTATCTGCTGTAATTCCTTGTTGGTTACTCTTGTCAACTGGCTATCTGGTCTTCAATAACATCTGTAGAAGTTGGCCAGTGATAAACTTCTGCTGTAACCTGTTAAGAATGCCTTCAGTGATACGTTTGTCAGGTATCCAGACTGTATAGCATGCAGTGATTTGACATTAGTGTGAAAAAAAGAATCTTGTGCCCTGTGCTACATGATACCGATATTTACATCGATCTCAGAACAATGTGTAGGCAATACAAAACAATTAGTACAGACAGTGAATAGTCTTCAAGTGACATCAAGAAATGAAATCAGGTCGAAAATCATCGAAAACTACACAGTATTTCGCTTATGTATCCTCATAGTTTACGGATGTTCAGCAGCGCTCACAGACAAATCCACCACAGACTTCTAGGTTGTGGGTTGAGCATGTCACTAGTCAACTAGTGAGATACATTTCACTGATTATTTGTACTTTTGTTACCCTTTATAACAAACATCCCGACAGTTTCTGCTATCTTGACCTCTTCATTCATTTGTTGCATTCCAATCGAAAACGAAGTATCCAGTCATGGATTATAGAATGCTGGGATACTCATAGAAGAAGAGATACTAATTTTGAGAATATTCTAGCAGAAGGATGCCTTTTTCCTAATATAAGCAGGTGATTTCGTCATTGCCGTAGCCCAACTTATAATTATTGAAAAAGCCAAAAACACGCTTTATTACAAAAGATTTTGTCATATATGTCTCATACAATATACCAGTTTTCATGTCTGTGTATGTGAGTGTGCATTCAGGGGTACATTGAAGGTATGGAATCTTCCCTTGCATGTGTGAGTGGACAACATCTCAACATAGCCCCAGAAAAACAATGGAACTGTGAAACCTAGATAAGCACAAGCAGCAGACTACCAGCTTCGTATACAACAAAATGCCTTATCGATATAAAAATTCCTAAGACTGGTATCGAAACAGCTTGCATTGTTGTCTACAAAAATAGTCTATGGCTGTTAATTGAAATGCACCGGGGTGATAGCTATCCATGATCTTCCATTGCTTCCTGCCTGTGTGTACACAAAATAGAACATTGATTATGTCTCTTACCAAACTCTTGGTAATCATTGTCTGATAATATTACCAAACACAGTTACAACTATTATGCTTCATATTCTTAAATCTACTGTGATTTCGTACATTCTAATAGGCCTTTTATGTTTTCATACGAATTCATTTGATGGGTGTTGAGCAGCCACATCACATGTTTCAGATAAACTCTGTTTCCCGACAACCCTACCCAAATTGTTTATGCGTTTCATTTTAGTTACTCAAAAGTAGCATAAAATCAGCATTTAGTGCAGTAGAAAAACTAGGAAAGTCAATCAATAACCTTCGTTTATAATTAACTCAGTTAATCCCAATAGCTAAAGCAGAGAATATTTCAAATGTTGTACTACAATGTGAGATGAAAATTTCCCGAAAAATCAATTTAGTAGCTTGCTAGGTCAATAAATGCGACTGTGGAATGCAAACGTCTCACAGTTGTTTGAAGCACCTCAACAGTACGCATACATGAATTAATGGGGGCGTCGGACACAAGTGCCTTTCCTTCTTTCCAAACCTTTTGCAATAATGGCGTCAGCATATCTGCTGCGGTCTCTGTATGCGTTTTCAGTGCTTCGAGTTGAGAGGAATTCCGTCTGATCCTGTTACTTTCCCAGCTGTCTTTCAGTAGCTTGATCGAATTCAGGATATATACTTTCGTTGGAGGATTGGTGTCTACTGTTAGTTCTGTGCGTGCTGTTGGCGGTGGTGGTATTTCTGGGCGATTTGCAGGGGATGGTCGTTTCAAGAGTCCTGTGGAAAGTTTTTGTTTTTCCTATTTTGTAGTCAGGTTTTCTTGAACGTTTTTATTGGTTTCGTCCAAGATCTGGGATTGAATCCTGGTCAACCCATTCATATATCTCCTCTAGTCGGCAGTAGGTATGGAAAAAATCGAGGCTTAAGTGTTCAGCTAGCAAACCTATCCAGTAATTAGCATCGGCACCATCACTACTGAAACTGCAATGGCTTTAAAGCCAGTATTCTGTTTGGAATGCAGGAAATAAAACAACTCATGTCAATCACTAATTCCACTTCTGTGGAAGTCGGGATGGCTAGTCGATTTGTTTGGTAAAAGACCATCGAGGTCGTGCTGGAATTAATTCTGCACAACTGAAGGGATTCTTCGAAATACTACCGCAGACTGAATAGTCAGTACGAGACAATGGAAAATTGTACATACAGGATGAAGAATATGCGCAGAGCAATGACGTGATACATCACCTGCAGATTAATAGGTGCCACCAGGGGCCAGTGTCTACACTGATTCCATCTCTACACAAAATTCCGGCAGCTTTGAACGATTTGAAATGGCTCTGGATGTTCGGAGTATTCGCCCCATAGAGTCATGTGGAAATTTATTTCGTGTCCTATAGATGACGTGAAAAGAATCTTCATTGCTGGCTTTATCGTCTGTTTGGACGAGGCGACCTAATGCACAACTGCTAATAGTTTCCATAAATCTGTACTCAAGCGCACGCGTAGATGCTCTCGATGAAGCACGAGACACAAAGTTCATGGATCGACGGATTATATATAACTAGCTTCAAAGGAGCAACTGAATTCATAAATATGGAAGGATGTGATTAGCCTACTCATTTCGTGTTTTAGATTCTCCAGAACTATGAGGTCATTCGAAAATATGATCCGCAGTTAAACAGCATTAAGAGATTCTTGTAGTGATTTCCTTTAACTTTTTGGTGATTACTCTCATTGATACCCACCTCTAGCACAGATAGTGAAGATCAGGTGGCCGGACAGAAAGGATATGCAACAAGAAACATACTTAACTTACTGAGCATTCAACACCACTCTAAATGGGATACAAACACCGGTCCTGCCTATCTGACTGAGGTTACAAAGTTTGTCTCTAATCTGAAATGAGGCAAAGACTCGGGAACTAATAGAATGACTCCAGAGGTTCTCAAGGATGGTGGAGACGGTTTACTGTCTACGTTAATTTTGATATTAGGCAGCGTCTGGGGATCATGGAAGTCCCGTCGGGTATATGATTATCCCGATATACAAGAATGGAGACAAGTCTTCCTGTGATAATCACAGGGGGATTAGCTTGACTAATATGGTATCTAAAGTTCTAGGCTCAATAATAATGCGTAGACTAATTGATGCTCGGCAGAAACAAACGAGAGAGAACCAGGCAGGCCTTAGTCCAAGAAGAGGGTGTATTGATCATGTCTTCACCCTTCGACAGATTCAGGAACATAAGCATACTTACCGGCGACCAACAATCGGCATATTTCTCGACCTGAAAGCGGCATTCGATTCCATCGACCGAGGTGTACTACAGTGATGTTTGGATGTGTAGGATGTGTAGAAAACACGTCGCACTGGTCACGGCACTCTACTGGTACTTATGCAACCAGTTGGGAGTCTATGGAGAGTTGTCACCTGATAACGTCGGTGACAAACAGCGATGTCCGTCAGGGATGCCCACTATCCCAACTTCTGTTTAATTTCATCATAGATGTACTAATGGACTTAACCCTAACTGAATTTAGAGACTCAAAGATTGACTTGTTACCAGAGAATAATCTCGTCGACTTAGAATATACAGATGATTTAGTCCTTCTAGGTGAAGATGCTGACAAATTGCACAGTATTCTGAACACCTTGAAGATCAGCAGTCTGCCAATATTAGGCATGCTATTCGCTCCTACTGTTAAACAAAAGATGATAATGCTACAGGACTGGACTTCGCAGAACCCTGTCTTAAACTCGACAACGAGTTGATTGGTAGAATTTGTTGACTACTTCACTTATTTGGGGAGATGCAGCCCCAACGGGTTCAACATGGATACATAAAGCTCATTTGGAATTTGCTAACTTACGCCACCTCTGGCGTGGACGTGATATCCGGCTATCGACCAAAGGACGTGTGTACTGCACAAAACTTCATTCCATCTTCCTTCGAGGCTGTGGGGCATCTTCACTGAAAGTGAAAGACATGGAATCGCTAGCTGGATTAATCATAGGTGTATGTGTTCTGTCTCCCATGTTAGGTGGTATAATAGGTGAGTAATATTGAGGTTAGGTGTCGAGTGTTAGGTAAGCAGGGAGAAGTGAAGTGAATTTCCATTGATTGAGATGGCTAGAACATGTGTTGCGCACTCCTAGCCTAGACATCGCCTTCCTCAACCGACAATGTTAGCTGGAGTATGACGGATCATGTTGTCGTTAGTCAGTGAAATCCATAACAGTTAGCTTAAGCCACAAAAGGAGATATAAACTTCTCTGTTGGGTCCTCCGGATGGTAAGAACCAGTGGCTACAGACAATTAGTGACACAGCCTAAAATCGTTCTCAATGGCTGGCGCACATACATTCACTCTTCGTGGTTCGTCATATCCAGTAAGATTTTATTGTTCTTCCATATGATCATTCTTTTTCCCTTAATCATACTTCTGTTAATTATCTCTCTCTCTGTTTTGGATTTCTCTTTACTCAATTCTCCTGCTTTGCATGCTAAAAGGAGGGAGATGTGGCGACTCAAACCACTGTACTTCTGTGCACAGTTCTTTACTGAAATCCGTCAGTCATCAGTCAGTCAGTCACAAGATGGAAGTGAGATGTCATGATAACGTGCATTACTGTTTGATATGAATGGATTCCAACCACTCGTATCAGTCCCTGGTGCATTCCGTGTGGTAAGAGAAAAGTCGAAACTTCAAAACGTTTCAAGCTAAATGTTTCACTCAGAAAGCAATGAGTGATCTGGAAGGTGGAGAAGGAGTTTAGATGTACGTACTTATGTGACAAACCGTTGAGAGAGAGAGAGAGAAAACAGACATATATTCGGGCATACGAGAAGACATTGAAAGACCTGGATTTTGTTGACGATTTATGTCTACCGTCACATTAACTCAAAAATCTACACATGAAAACCAATACCTTGACAGAAAAGGCAGAAAACACAGGACCTCAAGTGAACACAGGTGATCAAGTTATCCGACTAACACCAACAACAGGCAGCACCAATCACCATCAACGGCAGATATCTGGGTAAATCCGAACTATGGGTACTCGGGCAAACCTTTTCGATCAGACACTAATCATTAACTAGTGTAATGTGTCTAGTCCTACCTTCAGTGCAAACTGAATTCTATCAGTCAGTCACGTTTGCAGTGTGGCCACCATACCACTAGGTGGCTCACCATCACGGTGCACTTTGAATTGTTGGTATACGATGGTTAGACGCAATCGGCAACTAGAACGAAACCTAGGTCCAAGGCTTCTTGCCGATTGCCTCCAACCATCTCATACCAACAATTCAAAGTGCACCGTGATGGCTAACCGCCTAGTGGCATGGTAGCCATATTGCAAACTTGGCTAACTGATAGAATTCAGTCTGCACCGAAGATAGAACTAGACACGCACATCACACTAGTTACTAACTAGTGTGCAACAACAAAAATATTTTTATTTTTTATTTTTAAATTTTCGATTACAGCTTGATTCCACACCGTACTTTTTGGTACAAGTATGGAATTTTCAGCATGTAATATCGGTAGCCCAAATTTTGCAAGCCGACCATAGCTATCAGGTGTGCGTCGACAGGGGATCGAACCGCGGACCATGTACATGGTCGGCGAGAGTCCTAACCACAGTCCTACAGGAGATCAACCGCGACCCCGAAATTTGAAAGAAGTCACCACTCCCACTTATTCAACTAGGCAGCATGCTTTTAATTACAGGCACTCGATGCAGATGATGATGTCACAATCAATCAGGATAGCGAAATCAAGAGGAGGGTTCATTACTCTCAAAACAACTTGGATATAGAATGGATCTTAGCACAAGGATCAAGTTTCGAGTATCAAAAGATGGCGTCAAGTAATGACGTTCATAAGATGGAGAGACTTGTTGTGAGCGTCTCAGGCTGCAGACTTTTATCAGCAGCCGCCCTATCTCGATGAAACTGAAGATGGGATGTCCAGTTAGGAACGATAAGCATCACGGAACACTTTCAACGGACCAGTCATTAACCTGTTGTTCAATAAATGTATGTTGAGGAATGAAGATGGATGGAATATACGCTGAGTAAAGCGTTGAGGGACATGGGGCGATTTTTCTTTTAATGGAACCTGAACGGAAAAAGAGTTGGATTTCGTTAAGAGGATGATATGGAAACAGTCGTGTGATTGGTGAATGGAAGCTTATGGGCAATCGTGGAACTAACCGAAAAGTGCTGGAGCAAACAGGATGAAATTAAAATGTGCTACTGAAGCTGCCTCATAATTCCACTCGGAGTGAAAAGAGAAAAACCGAAAAAAATGATAACATAATCTCTGGCGTTAATACATGAAAGCTGAAAACAATTCAAAAGGAGAAAATTGTCAATTCACCTTGAACTTACCGATTTACGATTTGATGCTGATGAATGCTGATTATGAAGGACTGAAGCATGACTCATTAGAGAATTGATTTTTATCCCCTTTGACTGTTTCATTTCATGTTGTCTATCAGATTGTCGTCTAGTTATATGATTTAACGGTTTAATATTTGAAGATCGTTCACGGAACCAAGATACACCTTTATTTTTAATATTATTATTGCTATTATCGTTATTATTATTATTATTAATAGTAATATGGCGATTCATCTTCTTTTTTATCTCTTGTTCTGATTTCCAATTTTTAGTTGTTAATAAATTCCAATTAGTAGACATAACTTCATCAAGTTTTAAACGATTCGAATTCATAGCTACTTTAGGTAACCAAATTTTCGATTGCATTGAGTCATTCCAATCGATATGAAGGTGATCACTGTAAATATCCTCATCGGTATCATCGGTGTCGTCATCGTTGTTGTTGTTGTCGTCATTGAATGCGTTATTGTGATCCACATTGTGATCACTGACAATGTCCTGGGTAAGTAGATTATTCTTTGAGCATTGGTTACGATAACTATGACTTAGATAACGTGGATTATTATTATTATTGTTATTATCATCTAAAAGTTCACTTGTATTATTGATTATACAATAAGTGGTGGTACTATTTGAATCATTCTCATTTGTTGTTGTCTGTATTTCATTGATACCAATCAACGGTGGAACAACTCGTGGAGCATAACTGTTACGATGATTGACTTGAATTGAAGTGCTACTAGTTGTTGTTGTTGTCGTCGATGTAGTAGAAGTACCGTTCTCAGTTGAACTGATCCCAGATGTTGTCGGGATGATATTGATTATCTCTGTAGGATTTTCACTACTTGAATCACTTTGATAACGTTGATTTTGATGTTGTTGATGGTTATATCGGGGTAATTTATCTAACAGCTGAATATTATTATTACCACTGCTACTACTACTTATATTAGTAGTATGCTTGTTATTATCATTTGATTTCAACGAATTCGATTTATCCACCAATAATAACTGCGATTGCGATTGTGATTGTGATTGTGGTTTCTGATGATTCACTAAAGACCGATTCTCATACCAGGAATATTTTACAATGGAATCCTCTGGTCTATACGTTGATAAACTATATTTATTGAGTGATAATGTGTCCTTTGAAATCAGTATACACACACATTCACGTGTGTACGTGTATGTGTGTGTGTGTAAATATCGATGTGAATGTGAAACATTGAAAAAACATACAGAAACATGGTTAATATTTTAATCAATATATATATATGTCTAAATAACATGTATATGAGTATGGGCGTGTGCGTGTGTGTGTGTGTGTGGGTATGTGTGTTGAGATGAGTGGATAAGTGTCAAAATGTGCATATAAATTATTACACACAATCATCCACCTTCTCGACACACTCACACATCAACACAAATACATACTTGTATACACGTGTATATATATATATATATACGTAAATTATATTGAGTTATTAAAACGTACACTGTAGAAATATAAATACCGCTACCACTCTTTTAATTTACATGAATTCAGTTTAAAATAATTTTGATAATAATAATAATACGAATGCTGGTTTAGTTTTTTCCCTTCAAAAAAAAAAATCATGTGAGACTGATTAAGACGTGTTTCAGATCAATCATATTAAGACATTAAGTGTACCTAAGATTATTTATGTATACAGAAGTAGTTGATTAACTGTTGGTGAGATAATCTCTGACAGCTTTGGATGTTTCCCCCACTCACCCCCTTTTTGATTCCTTTCCATTCTTAGCGGAATAGAAGACTTCAAGCTAGAAATCCTTGAAAGTTTACTTGCAGTGATGTCGTTTATACACCTAACTATTTCCTCTTTATCTGAAATTATTGTGGGCTAGGAAACCATGTGAGGCTTAGGAGTGTATTGGCCAGTAATCGAATCCTTGCCTGATTGATGAACATCCTACCAATGAACCATCTATGCGTAATAATTATGATAGAATTTATTTTCGGTCGGTCTGTCAGTCTTCGACATAGAACTTTGCACATATGTGCAGCAGTTCAAGTCGCCACACTTCACTCAGCACACAAAGCAAGAGAAGAAAGTAGGAGAAATGCATAATAGAGACAGTAAACAGAGGTGTGAGACAAAGGAATAGTAATAACGGAGAACAAAACAGTTTAATTGGAAATCATAAGTCACAAGGAGTGGATGCATCTGCGCCACTGAGAACGATTTTGAGCCATGTCACCAATTGTTTCCAACCATTGGTTTTTACAGTCCCGAGGACCCTAACCAGTGAGGAAGTCTACACCTTCCTACGTGGCTTAGACTAACTGTTGTAGATTTCATTGACTGGTGCCATGTTTTCGTTTGACCGCCGCTAGCTCTTTTCCAGTCTGGCCCTATATCAGCTAACATTGCCCGTCAGTCGAGGAAGGCGATGACTAGGCATACGTAACACATGTCCCAACCATCTCAGTCGATGTAATTTCACAGCCTCGTCGACTGATTACCCCTCCTTACCTAACACTCGACGCCTAACCTCAATATTGCTCACCTTATTATACCACTTCACACGGGAGATAGAACGCAGACACCTATGATCAAAGACAGCTAATCTTTTCATGTCTTCCGCTCTCAATGGTCAGGTCTCACAGCCATAAAGGAGGACGGAGCGGACTGTTGAGCAGTACACACGTCCTTTGGTCGATAGTCGGATATCGCGTCTACGTCAGAGACGGCGTAAACTGGTATATGCGAAACTAGCCCTCTGTATTCGTGCTGAGATTTCGTCGGAGATCAACCCGTTGGGGTTGATGGTACTTCCCAAGTAAGTGAAGCGGAGAACGTGCTCTACCACTTCACTTCCTATTTCTAATATAGGGATCGGTGAAGTCCAATCCTGCAGCACCATCTTACATTTTACAGGGGCGAATCGAATGCCAAACATACGGAGATTCCCGCTCAATGTGTTCAGAAGACTCTGCATTTTGTCAGCGTCCTCGCCTAGAAGGACTATATCGTCTGCATATTCTAAGTCAACGAGATTATTCCCTGGTAGCAAGTCAATCCCTGAGTCTCTGAAGTGAGTTAGGTTTAAGTCCATTAGTACGTCTATGATGAAATTGAATAGGAATGGGGATAATGGGCATCCTTGACGGACGCCACTAGTCGTCACCACTTCAGATGACAACTAGCCATAAGCCCTCACCTGGCTGCATGAGTACGAGTAGAGTGCCTTAATCAGTACAATGTATTTTCTCAGCATTCCCTTTACAGCCAAGCATCGCCAGAGAACCTCTCGGTCGACAGAATCAAATGCCGCCTTTAGGTCAAGAAATATAATGATTGTTGGAGAATTTTGGGAATGAAGGATAAGGTCTTCAGCTTTTTAGGGACTCACCAGTTGCGCATACCTGCATGATGATGTTCCCAGTGAGACTCAAACCCTGCATCTATCATTTCAAACTCCAAAGCGTTATCTACAATGCCACAAGGACAAGATATGTAATGAAACAGGAGTATTTATCCAATCGGTGTGGATTATAGATGACATAAAATTCTAGATTAGAGCTAAACTAACTACTAACCTAGTGCTCTGTTAACCGTGTCAAACAATCAGGCCAATTATTTCATCCAGAATCAGCATGATTCATGTTCAGCTGATGACTTCTTTAGGATTTAGTTCAATTAGTCTCAGCTATAGGAAGTGTCGAGCTAGTCACTAGAAGGCTGTTAAACAAAAATAACCTTCTACTTCACCTGAAATCATCGCCAATTACATTAATGTCATCAAGATAATCTGGATAATCTTAGGTGTTTTTATGAATGGATTGAAGACTTTCGACATCAGCTGGCCGTCTTTATTGAAGAGTCCCAAACTAGGACAAAACAGCTATCCAGTACTCTCTGGGTTTCAGTGGTCACATCGTGATCACACTTGCAACCAGTCAAATCCTCGCAAACCAATAGCTAATAATAATATTACTTAATCAGTAATATAATATGATATAAAATAAATTACAACAATACTGGAAAACTAATCAATAGCTAACTATGGGATGGACTTCATGAACTCATAGTAAGGAATGTTGATCAGTGTGGTCACTAAAGTTCGCTATGAGGATTAATGATAACGAATGGCTGTTGATTTGTATGAGAAATAAGAAATAAGACATTTTATTAAGTCTGCATTTCTTATTGTTTTAATCGCGCAATTGTATCAAGTGATGACTACATGAACTGGTGCACATATTTAATTATCTCCCCAATAAACGTTATGCAATTCTTGAAGGAAATCAAGAAAAGTTGTATGGAACTGTCTCTGTTTTCCTATGCAACAAAGCTACCTCACATTAAGTACTTCAGATTATTACTTTACATATAAATTCTGCAAGGAAAGGAAATATTTCGGAGCTAAATACGCTGACAATTTCTGTAATATATTTTCATACATTGTGTGATATCAAGCTTTATTTTTATTATTACTCTTAAACTAATTCCTTCGTAGTATGGTGCTCGTCTGGCCATGAATTATTTCTCATGTCATGTTGTAGGTGTAGAGTTACCAACAATTCCGAAATAGGGCAGGTGGATCAAGGTTACATGCTGCCTGATTTTCAGTGATCCTCATATTATTATTATTATTATTATTATTATTATTATTATTATTATACCAACTACGCTTACTTCTCAGAAAAATCATGAAGGCTTACTGGTATGATAATTTGAAATGTGCTTCTTATGACAAATATAAATTGATGTATGTTGTGTTCGATTTCTGGCCTTCACATTTCCAAACCGCGCCTACTTTAGTCGTCGATATCAAATCCAGTCCGTCAGAAGCGATGTCTATGTTTCTAAATTAAACTATGATAAATTATGCTTAATAAGTTATGCTACTTGAGAGTAGCTTAAAATAGTTCAAACAATTATCAAGTTGATTTAATTTCTCCTAGGATCGTCTTTAAGTAATGTAGATTTTTAGTTCAGGTGGATGATACTGAAATATTTGTATTCCCCGAGCTGGCTGATTTAATTGCGAAACTTTCGTCGTCCCCCATCTAGACAATATCTTCACCTCAAATTTCAGTATAAAATCAACTTATTTGAATTCTCCATGAATGGTGATATAATTGTATCTCCTGAAAACCATCGTCGTGACTGGTTGTTAACTTACATCTTTACCTACCATTTTTATTGACTTGGAATTAGAACTTTATTGTCATGTGATTTACTTTTTATTAGCTGGTAAATTTGGTCTGTAGTAATTAATGTGTTTGTTAATTGCTGATTCACTTCAGTACCAAGCAGGCTTCTAAAAATTCCTTGGCATTAATTCACGTGTTTCCTCTATTCAAAATTCGCTGACTGCATTCTGGTGTTTCTTCCACCTAAAATTTCGAAATTATCCCAATCAAATTGGGATACGAAAGAATATATATATCATACCTGTTTACAGACAATTTGTGTTCTTGGATTTAGATTCGAAGGGGATGCCCAATCTGAACAATGTAATGTTTATCGCACTTCATACAATTTATTTTGTAGATGGTATTAATTTTATATCCTTTTTCTGTTGGATTTTTCGGTCTGCGCGATATCGAATGAAGCGATTGTGCTGGCTGGCTGACTGACTGGCTTATGTTCTATATCTATTTCACACGGTTTTAATATTCTAGCTGTTATTTCAGAAATATTTTTCTATATATGGTAGAGTGAATTTTCTTGTGGTCTTTGATGATGGTTTCTTGTTCATGTTATGACTCGTGTTTAGACACTTTTTGATGAGATTTTGAGGATATCGGTTCTTTTTAAAGACTATTAGTAGGTATTTTTCGTCCACACTTCAACACCGGAGTGCTGTAGTGCGTATGAACTCTTTTAAACAATATCTGCATACAGTTTCTTTTGTGGGTAATTGGGTTATTACTATTATGACTGAGTATTTAGTCTGCGCTCGCTGATTTTCTACATACTTGTGTTTCTAAATTTCCAGTGTTAATTCTGTTGATTAAGATATCTAAGAATGAATTTTGTTGTCTAATTCTTCTTCTCTCGTGAATTTGAAGTCTTCAAATATGCTGTTTATTAATTTATGCGTGTATTCCAAATCATTTCTTCTAATTATTACAAATGCATCATCAACATAAC